CTTAAATATCTTTTTTTTTTTTTTTTTTTTTTTTGTCTTTTTTCCGTGTCCGGCAACGGATTGCAACCCTTAGTGTTGCCCCCGTACCAGACCGGGGACCGGCAACGGGATTGCAACGCTCGGTGCTGCTCCCGCGCCTCGCTCAGCCAGTGAGCGGGAACCAGTCTGTATGTGGGATCCGAACCCTCGGGCGGGAGCGCCACCGCGCTTCCCAAGCGGCGCACTTATCCAGTGCGCCACCGGGCCGGCCCCTTAAATATCTTTTTTTAAAGGAAGTTTACCATTGGATGATTTTTAACAGCTTTATTGAGTGTAATTGATGCACGGCAGACTGCACGTTTAAGCTACGTCCTCTGGTATTTGAGTTCCGACACATGCACATCCCTATGAAGCCGTCGCCACAGTCACAATGATCTACAGGTCTGCCACTCCCAAAAGAGGCCTTGTGCCCTTGGTAATCCACCCCTGCCCTCTTGACCCATGCTGCCACTGAGCTTTCTGTCGCTATAAGTTAGATGCATTTTCTAGAATTTTATATGAATGGTATCACATAATATGTGTTCTTTTTTTCCTTTGGCTTTTTTCACTGAGAGGAGTCATTCTGAGTGATCCATCAGTAGCTTGTTCCCTTTTGTTGTGGGTAACAGTCCACAAGTGTGCTGATGTGTCCACCGGCTCAGTGGCTGAAGGACACTGGGTTATTCCAGTTGTGGACTGTTACAGATAAACTGTGCTGAACGCTCACGTGCAAGTCTGTGTGTGCATGCCTAGGTGGGCACTGAGCAGTGGGACTGCTGGGCGTGTGGAGGCTAGTGTTTGCAGCTTTAAGAAGCGTCCAACAGTTTGCAGAGGCCACCTTGTGGTATTCCTGGTAGCAGGCAGGCAGGGAAGACTGCGTCCACTCCACATGCTTTAGAACATGGCACAGTCATCTTTTCTGTGTCAGCTGTCCCTTCAGGGTGAGGTGGAGCCGTGACGGTTCAGTCTGGTCACTGTGCATCCCTAGCGACTGCAGGTGCTGGGCGTCTTGTGTGTGCCTACTCGCCGTCTGTGAGTGGTCTTTGCTGGAGTCTTTGGTCACATCTTTTGCCCAATTTTTAATTGCCTTATGTGTTTTCTTAGGGAATTTGTGGAGTTCTTTCTATGTTCCAGGTATAAGTCCTTTATCAAGTATGTGATTTGCAAATAAGCCTGTGAGTTGCCTTTCCATCATCTTAACAGTGTCTTCAAAGGGCCAAAGTTCTTAATTTTTTCAAAATACATTTTATCAATCAGTGTTTTTTTTTTTTTGTCCGTTTTGAGACCGGCCACACCGCACTCAGCCAGTGAGCGCTGTGAGCGCACTGGTCATCCCTATATAGGATCTGAACCCGCAGCAGGAGCGCTGCTGCGCTCCCGGCGCCACACTCTCCCAAGTGTGCCACGGGCTCGGCCCTCAATCAGTGTTTTAATGGATTTTGCTTCTGGCGCTGTATCTAAGAAATTTTTGCTTAATTCAAGCTCAGAAATATTTTCTTCTATGTTCTTTTCTTTTTTTTTTTTTAAAAAAAGATGACCGGTAAGGTGATCTTAACCCTTGGCTTGGTGTTGTCAGCACCACACTCAGCCAGAAATATTTTCTTCTATGTTCTTTTCTTTTTTTTTTTTTTAAAAAAGATGACCGGTAAGGTGATCTTAACCCTTGGCTTGGTGTTGTCAGCACCACACTCAGCCAGTGAGCAAACCGGCCATCCCTATATGGGATCTGAACCCGCCGCCTTGGTGTTATCAGCACCGCACTCTCCCGAGTGAGCCACGGGCCGGCCCCATTCTATGTTCTTTTCTAAAATGATTATACTTTTACCTCTCACAGTTAGTTAGGTCTGTGGGCCATTTGGATTAACTTTTGTGTAAAATGGGAGGTGCAGGTCAAGATTCATTCTTTTGTGCATAGACATCCCAGCAGCGTTTGCTGATAGTACCATTTTTTCTCCACTGGTTACTTTGCAGCTTGGCAAAGTGTTTTGTCACAAAAGTGGGCTCTCTCTGGCCTTCTGCCTGGCTAACAGGTGGCGCGTGAATTGTGTGTCCCTAGGCCCCACCGAGGACACCACATCCAGCTTATTTGGCGAGGAGGACGCTGAGGATGAGGAGCTGGAGGCTGCTGCTAGCCACCTGAACAAGGACTTTTACCGGGAGTTCCTTGGTGACGGCAGCACTCCCAGCAGCTCGGAAGCAGCAGAAGGCCCTGAGGGAGGCGGCAGGCCCCCGGCCCTGGAGTCCCTGCTTGGCCCCCTACCTACAGCAGCCAGCCTGGGCATCTCAGACTCCATCCGCGAGTGTATCTCCTCCCAGAGCCGGGACCCCAGTGAGTGCCCCAGAGGGGGAGGGTACTAGGGGTTGCTGAGGCCGCGGCAGAGGTGTCCAGTCCAGAATGTCCCTCTCATTGAGTGAACCAGAAGCCACTTCATCTGTCTGGGAGGGGTGGCATTCTAGAAGGGAGGAGTTGGGTGGGGACACTGCTGGTCCCCCGAACAGGGCTGTGTGAGGGTCAGTGACCCCGAGGTGGAGAGTTAGGCATGTGCAGATGCCCTGGCATACCCAGCAGGCCTCACCTCTGTCTCTGGGACCTTGCACCAGCCGTGGTCACCCTCCTGCCCAGCAGCCTGGCCAGTTGTTGGCCAGGCCTGAGAGCAGCAGGTGCCATGTGACTGGTGGGCCGTTGGGTGTCCACAGGGCAGGGACTGGTGTCTTGTGTTCTCCCTTTTGGCTTGTTTAGCCTGGTGGGAGAGCCTGGACTGAAAGCCCGTCCCACTGGCCTGGGGTACATTGCTTACCGATCTTAAGGATGGCTGTATCAAGGACCCTGCAGCCCGGGGTGCTCGCTGCCCCCACTGTGCCTGAACCCAGCCATAGCAGATGCCCCCCTACCCCACCCTCCACTCCTTGCCACTCCCATTCTGTAAAACATCCCACAGTGGGCAGCTGGGAAGGGCTGTGATGCTGGTGGCCCTGGGGAAAGGCAGGCTGGCCCATCTCAGTTCTCTGCCGGGCAGGCTTCTCGGGCCCCAAGTAGCACCTGCACCCTCAGGCTGTGCCTCCTCTCCAGGAGCCGGGGCTACCTTCTGTGTGAGGAGCCCCTATGAGGGGGACAGATGTTTAACATGTGACTTCTAGGCCACTCATGGAGACAGTCATGCTCCTGCCCTGGTGGCATGGCTGCTGAGTGAGCACAACACAGGTGGGTCACACACAGCATTGGACAGAGGGCGCATGCAAAGGCCCCAAGTCAGACAGAGGTACAATGACTCTGGAGCAGAAAGGCCGTTCCAGCTGGAGCTGAGTGTGAGGGGAGCAGGTAGACCGCAGACGGGCTCGAGGGGTGCATCTGAGCACGAGAGGAGCCATCAGGGGCCTCAGCCATGAGCGACGTGGCTGGCAGGCACCAAGATGGCCTGTCTGTGCATGGGCTGGAGTTGACAGGATTTGGCAGCCAATCATTGGGTGACAATGGACTGGGAGAAGAGGGAGTGACCTGGTGTCCATGCTGTGCAGATTGTGCTATGATCAGGTGGGGCCGGAGGGTCCTGGCCATGGTTATGGAAGGCTCTCGAGGCCTGGGCTCCTGACTCACCCTCATGTCCACCCCAGGCCTATAGGCACAGTCACTGGGAACATGTAGGGTGGCAGCCTCACCCAATCACCCTGGCCTCCCTGTCTGTCAGGGCCACAGAGCATGTGTCTCCCAATACCAAAAGCTCATTTCTTACAGAAGAGCATGGACGTGTTGGGGGTTTCTTTGTAGCTTAGTTTAGTGTCCTGCCTTCTTCACTGCGCTCTAACTTAAGCACTGTCCCCTGTGGCATTTAAAGAGACATGTTGGGAGAGTGTGTTGCTGATAACACCAAGGCCACAGGTTCAGATCCCATACAGGGATGGCTGGTTAGCTCACTTGGGAGAGTGT